CAAAATCCATGAAGATATGGTATGTGGGTTTAATAGGGATGCCTCTGGGGAGTATAACTGTATATGCTGAAAGCATTATTAAGCCTAAATGCTCTAGTCATTTCAGCACCATGCAGTTTCCTAACTTGGAGGTCGTAGTTCTTGCAACATGTATGCTATCGGATCACTTTGGATCAAGAATGTGGAACATTAGCGGCCTCTAGTGGCCACTTTATATAGCACCGTGACTATTAAAAGGTGGGTTTTGGTTTGCATGATTATAAATTGCAGTTACAATTTGGGCTAAATTGGACCTTTTGAGCCAGGTTTCCAAGGCTGGAACCCTGTGGAAGCCATGGAGGACAGCAATCAGACTGCACAAGAGAAGCAGGGGGCTAGCAAAGGCATGATTTGGGTTTCGAATGCAGGACAAGCCAAAAAGCAGTGATGTGGAATCACACACCAGCATCAAGAAGGCAAACCAGAACTGATCACAGAACTCATTTATAATCAGAAGAATCACACTAAAAGCAGTGTGAAAATAGCATCTGAAGAACTATTAAAGATGCTCCTTACATTAGTCCTCTTTCTTTCACTTTAACCCCTAGCAGGACAAATATTAAGGTCGCTCTCAGTATCTTCCCACTTGACAAAAAGCTTTTGTTCAAAACCCCTTTGGCATGTGGCTGAAAGGGGTTTTAATTAGTTAGGTGCTGCCTATTTCTTTAATAGCTGTGTTCTTCACTGTGTTTGTAGCTTGTTTTATGTTATGCTTTAATTTAGATTTTTTTCCAAAAAAATCTGGATTTTACTTTTAGGTGCCTTGAGTGTCATTTTTGCCAGAAAGGCAGAATATAAACAGATAAATAAAACTTCATGAAGAAAACAATCAGTATGAAACAGCAACTCCTCATTCTGGGGGCTACTGTCTCTTATGAAGACTTACCTTTAAAACAGGTAATGAGATAATGTGTGTTCTACATGTAATTCCAGGGATATCCTAAAAAGATGAGAGCACAATAACCAAAATCTTAATGTAGAATACAGATATGGAACTGTCTGGCTTCCTTTTTTGGAACTATACAATTTCTGACTACAAAAGGGACAAAAGGACAGCAAGCTGCACAAAAAAGAAGAGACAATCCTCCTTTCTTTTATGTTCCACTCACAGTGTATTCATGCCACAAGAGTCCACTTTTTAAAATGTATTGCAAGTGTTTTAAAACCACTTTATAGATACCAAGGCAATGTGCATTTGCAGGCTCATTTTTCTCATAAAAACGAAGACTAGCTCATGGCACAATCCTATGCCTGTTGAAACAGAAAAGGAGTCCCAGCCAGGGAATGGTGGGAGCCATAGACCTCTTTTTCTGCCTAACCAGGCACAGGATTATACCTTCCAGTGGCTGACAGCATAACAGAAACCCCTTCGGTTGCAAATATCTCTTACCTCATTCCAGTAAAGTAGTGATGTGTATGGTAAAAGTTTATCCAGGTTGATAGCCTCCAGGCACATCCTCCAGTATAAAGCAGCTGAGTGCATTGACAAAGAGAGAAGGCTGGATAAAGGTTTTTGTCTACGTCAAGTAAAATACCCAATCTTTCCTGTATTGGTCCAGAAGTCTATTCACTGACAAAGGGTGAGGAAGGTCCTCCCTTAGCGCTGGGGTATGGAAGAAGAAAACCCCAAAGACAAAATAATGGATCAGATATGAAGTTTTAGCATGGTTTTCCTTGAGTTCCTCAGAGGAAGTGAGGAGGAGGTGGAATAGGGGCACAGCAGTCCCACTGCCTATGACTGAAGGTCAATGCATGAGGTCTGAAGTCCAATGTGACAGGCCAAGGATTCCGTCCTGCATGTCTGTAAGGCTGGAAAATTCAGTCTTTTCCCCCAATTGCAGGGGTTCCCAAGCTGGGGTGCCCACACTCCAATGGAGTGTGAGATGACATTTCAGGGGGTGTGACAAAGGCTGCATCGCGATTCTCCAAAATTGGCAAATTGCTACATTTGTCCACAGAATGGCTAATTGCTCTATTTGGCTAATGGCTCAATTCATATTTGAATTTTATGCACTGAGTCAAAAGCTTTTTTTAGTTCAATTTGTTCACCTGTAGTACCGTATGTGTCTCAATTTGTGGTTTAAAAATTAGAAATTTGACTTCTTCATCTTAAAATGTGATATTACTTTTGTAGGGGGTGTGAACATAAATATTTTCTAGGGGTATGGAAAACAGAAAAGGTTGGGAACCATTGTCCTACAGTGACAACCTTCGTATTAGGGAAAGGAACACTACAGCCCTATGGATTATTACTTAAAGGTAAGTCCTATTCAGTTCAATGCAACTTACTCTCAGGTTCTAATTGTATGCCCAGTTTACTTAGTGTAGGACTGGGCAGACAATCCGGGGCCTCCATATAGCCCTCTGATGCAGTCTGCACAGCAAACTGAGTTCTAGGAAGCGCCATCCACTCTGCCCTGGGTCGTAGGGAAAAGACGCCCGACCTGGAAGCACGTATGGCCCTCTGGGTCAAAAAGCTTGCCTGTCCCTGCTACAAAACCTACCTTGGCTGAGTAGCAGGGGTGCTTACAGCCTAAGAAACTGAGACAGCAGCTCTGGCTAAGTCATAGCAGCTGTTCACATACAGAGGAAGCAGGCAGATCCCTTTTAATTTGCAGCAGGCCTCTCGTTTAGTTATGCATGGCATTCACACAGACACACGGTATGGACACACCCCTGAATTCACAGGCAGACAAATCCATAACTCATTCTGTCTCATAACCCAAATCATTCTGTCCTCTTTACTTTCATTCTGACATAGAAATACCTACCAATGATGAATTCCTGTATTGGATCAAACGTAAAACAAGTTGACATGTTCTCAGAAATCCATTCGATAATCTATTAGAGTCAGAAAACAAAATAGTTAATGTAGTGGCAAAGATCTTCTCCACCAGTCCTCCTGCTCTGCACAGGATGACCATGAGCCACAGAGTTGGGGCTTGTGGGCATTGCAATTCTGCATCCTCAACCTCTCTTCTAGAGAATGGGGAAAATCGCTCACTGGTAATATGACAGCCAGTGTATTGTAGTGGTTAGAGCATCTGAATGGGATTCAGGAGATCTGAATTCTAGTCCCCACTCAGCCACAAAGTTTCTAAGCTGACTTTGGGCCAGTTACTGACTCTCAGACTAACCTGCCTCACAAGGCTGTACTGAGGATAAGCTTGAGAGGAGAAGGAGGATTATGCAAACCACCTTGCGTTCTTTGAAGAAAAACAGTGGGATAGAAATATAATAAAGACATAAAAAATAAATAAAATACATTTGGAATTCAGACCACTAGATACATAATCTGCAAAACCAAAATTGATGTGTTACTTTCCCAACTACTTAATAAAAGAAACCCTGTTTATACATTTCCTTGCAAGATGAACTGCACAAATAGAGAACTCATCCCACCTGGGTTTCCAACTCCATTGTTCTTCCCGCATGTAGAAGCAAACAGTGCAGCGCTGCCAGCCTACCACTGTCTGACTTGATGTTCCAGAGGAACTGCAGCAAGGCTTGCTTGTTTATCGCAACAGTAAACACTTTGCCTGTGCTGCGATCCCAGACCATGGACTTGATGGGTGAAAGGATGCTGCTTGCATGCAATCGGTTAATTTTTGCCTCCTCACCTAAACAGCATAGGATTAGGGAAAATAATTTGCACATGATCAATATACTATACATTAAAATATATAAATTCCCTTGTAAAATTATTATCTGGAGACCAGATAATAAAAGGTGCTTCCAGACAATTGTGCCCTTGCCCTGACTCATTCACCAGATTTGCAGGTGAGCGGGCAGATGCAACTTTCTTCCACTCAGAACCCAGATGTGGTGTTTTCCAACCACTTCTTCAGCCTTCTTTCTTACTATGGAAAACTATCAGAGCAAACAAGATGGGATAACAGTACAACTACTTTTGGCTATTAGAACAGATTCCGCTTCATCTACAAGCTGCCCCAAACTCACAGGTTTCTTTCATAATTGGGGGAAGTTGCACATTTGCAAATTATTGTTTTGGGACTGATTTAAGACTTGGTACAACAAGTCTAATCAGGCCCAATGCTAGCGTTCTTTCCATTTTTAAGAAACCCCAGATCAAATTGTACACAAAGAAATTATATCTATTAACAGTCCTAACAGGAATTAGGAAAGTGCACACATTAGGCACTGGATGAGTATCTTGAAGATCTTGGTTGTTGGGGGGAAGGTTTGATGTGCTTTTTAATGCTCATCATTCCTGTTAATTTGCCTTATTTGCGCGTATTTATTTCTGTACACTGAATGAAGCTTTCATAAAAGCAAATGTCATAGAACTGAACATTAAAAGTAGCACTATACCTGTTAGAAAGAAATTATAGCACATCAAGTCAGGATGCCAAGTGTTGAGAAGATGCAGAAAGTGTCCAGGTAAATAGACAGCCACATAATAGCCTATTGTTGGTGGGAGTTTTGTTTTGTCAACAATAAATGAAGAAGAATTTAAAAGGCTTGTCAGTTTTGAACATGCATAAATCCTTAGAACTCCAGTTTAACTCAAAAACCTGGGTAATTCAGAGTGGTGCTATTTGAAATATAGTACACATGGAACATCTCATTAAAATTATGATATTCACCTCTCATCTATGTGCTAACTTCCCAAGTCTCAGTTCAATTCCCAACCAAACTATCTTCCATCTTAGTGGCACAAAACACAAGACAACAGTACTTTTACAGGAAATAATCTGCTTGACTATTCATTTTTTCCCAAGTGTGCAATAGTCTGATGATCATAGACAACTAAAGCTACTTGCTCTGCCAAATGGGAGGAAGGCCATTGAGATATTTTCATAATTTAGTCATCCAGCTGCTTGAAAAACATGACAACTCTATGTGACACACAGAAAGGAAAATATGTCCCTTTCTGCAGCTCTGAATACAACAACCACTCATGCAGCTCAGACCATGATGGTCTCTTAGAAGACTACTGAAAGAGAAGGAAAAACTTCAATTTATCAACTTACCAAGATTCAAAAAAGTCAGATCCTTCATTTCCAGGGTATCCATTCTTTCTAACCTAATAGTGAATGTTTTACTATAACCTAAGAAAAGTAAGAGATAATTGCTTTGGTATTTTACAAGCATGACGTTTGTTTGAAATCATGCTTTCTGGAAAAGAATACAAAAACTGGAAATTAGAAAACTCCATCTCAGCTTGGTTTTGACTTAATTGAAACACTCGCTTTTGTATTCATCTCCATTATTCCTAATGTTTATATACGCAAATGAAAAAATAAGGGGGATGCAATTCAACAAACTTGGTAAATAGCCTCCTTACTCTATTTCACAAGCCATGCACTGGCTATACTATCTGAGTGTCACATCATTGAAACTCCTACTAACTATTGATACTTTTTTGAGTGACCAACTTCACATGATTCTTTGGCCACAAATGTTTTTATCTGGCTCTTGAGAAAAAGAAGGGCCCCGGGAATAGATGCCAGTCTATTCCACAGGTGAACATTAACCTATCCTGTGCACAACAGAGGCCTCTTGCATAGAAGAATAATTTGACTTAGCGGAAAGAATGGATCAGATGCTCTTTCAGCAATCATCTATGCATGCTACTCAGAAGCATCTTCCATTCACTGAGACTTTCTTTCAGATAAGTAAAGGATTGCAGCTTTAACTCTAGTGGCAACTTTTCCTTGCCATCTACCTCACAGAGCACCATTCAGCTTTGGTTTGCCAAGAGCTACTAATTATTCTTCATGGCGCATTCTTGATTTGTTCCCCAAGTAAAGATTTTTATGTAAATCAAGTACAACATATGTAAGCCGTCCTGAGGCCTTCGCAACAGGATGGCATATCAATATTCTAAACAAACAAACAAACATATGTACAGAGAGTCTTAACAGAGAGACAAGTTTTTCTACAGAGAAGTAGTGACATAGTATTCTGTACTATTACTGAAGGAATTCAACAGCTGGCCTTGAATTATCTTCAGCTCACTAAAATCAGAAAGGGTAAAAGTATTTACAATGTTTTTGTTGCATAGCAAGTTGTATGTTGCTATGCATATTGCATATTATTTATAGATGCTATATTATCTATTGCATATTATTTATAGATACTATATTATGATCTCATTTTATATGCATTATTCATTATATGTATGGTATTTGAAATCATATGTATATATTATTCACCGAAAACCAATAAGGAGCCTTGAGGAACCCTAATGTCCAGCATTTATTATGGTGGTTATAAACCATAGGATAAATGAAAAGATATGCCATAAAGCATTCACTGGTCTTTGGAGCACTACAGCATTTTGTGTAAGGAATAAGGGATAAATAAATAAGGAATTTAAGTACATAATCTGTAAGTCTCAAGTAAACAAATTCCAGGGTATCCTTGCAAAAGGTACTACTAATTTCACATTAAACCTACACTTGTATATGCTGATAATGAAACATACTAAGATAGGGGAGTCACACACCCATGGCAGAGGGCCCCTTCTGTATGTTGGCCAAGGCTTTGGTATCAGATCAGCAGAAGCCAATGCATTCAGGACCCTTCCTTGAAAGTTTTATGAAACAGTTCTTTCTGATGTACTTGATCCTATACATTGAAATAGTGATTTAAAGAATCAGTACACTTTTAAGTTTGTATATACTGTCCACTACAAGCATCTTGGGACACTTGTAGTGGACAGTATAGAAAAGCTTCAAATAAACAAACAAACAACAAACAAAATTATACTGAAATATAATTTGGGGAGAATTGAAATATTATTTGAAAAATTATAATTGAGAAAACTCACAGTTATAAGTCTAAAAGAAATGTCTATCAAGATAGAAGGGTATGAAAGGAAAAAATGAAAGCATTTTATAATTTTGTAATAACTCACAAAACAAATGGTGCTTTGCAGAATATATACATATAGCAAAGTCTGAACAGGATACATTAAAGTTGCAATCCTATATACACTTAGCAGGGAATATATCCTATTGGAATCAATCAGATTTACTTTGAAAACACCTACACAGAATTTCATTGTAATTATACCTTTATGAAGAAAGGACACAGAGTATGCCACTTCTTCAGGACTAGCAGGAACCAGACTATAACATACACAAAAAGTGCCTAAGAGAAGGAAAAAAATCTGTTTACAAAATTGCACCTATAGGATTTCCACTTGAATATAACAGAAGTTAAATGATTGAATCAGAAAAAGAGGGCCATTTCCTTCTCTACATGAACAGCTGTAGCATCAAGTAATCTCTCTGTAGGGGCTCAATTAACAATAAATATATGCAGGTTTAAAGGCAACAGGGTGATGCCTTGGATACACACAGATTTCTCAAAATTTGAGCCTAGGGCCTATTCCATTGTTTCATTTTTCCAAATTCTTTCAGTGTTGGAACTTCTCTTTAAAACTGGTTTTGTCAAGCATTTGCTAGTACTTTAAATCACATTTGCAGACATTCCCAAACTGCTCTTAAACAGCCTTTCTTTTTGTATTTTATATCCAAGCATGCTGATCTCCTTCCCTTTGCATCTGTGCCTTAGTTCATATGTTTCATTTCTGTTTCATTTGCTCATCTGGTCCCAATTTCAGGAATGTTAAACCTGAAATAACACAGTATGCATCCTAATTTTGCATTCTTATGTATTTTATTTATATTTTATTCCATTCAAGTTTTATTTTATTTGAAATATTAATACAATATGAAAGCCATGTTAGTCTCAAGGTGCCATGAAAACAATTTTTCTGCTTTTAATATCTTTGCTAACTTTAATAATGTTGTCTCAAGGTGCCAAACAAATTTCTCGCACTCCATTTTACTATATTTGTTGCATGATGGTTAAGGTTTCATTCTCAACCATCTTGAAAACACTTGTTAGGGGCGATAATAGAGAAATATGCCTTTATGAAACCAATTAAATACTGATATTATTTTAGTATCAGACAACTATCATTTATAAACTTTAACTTGAACACAGCAGTAAATAGGGCCTCTAACAGGTAGGAAATGAAATAATAATCAGAGAAGCCACTTTTATGCTAGAGCATCAGCAAATAGATTTGTCTCCCTTGAAGCATGAAGGAATATGTTGTGGATTTTAAAATATTTCAATTGCTAGATGGATACCGAGAAATTAAAAATTCACTTCCTGCAAAGTAAGATAAGATGTCTTGCAATAAAATACCAAGTGATAAGTAATTGAAAATGCTGAATAATACATCATTAAAAAACTGGAGAGATCATAAATATAACAGTAATGACTACATTAAAAGGGAAGATGTAAACAGGTTCAAAATAAATTCTGACTTTATGAATACTAATTTGGTGGGGCCTGGGAAAGGAAGTTAAGACTGAGAGCCTAATTTATGGAATAGCTAGATAATGTTAAAAGTAAAAGGTAAAGGTTTCCCCATGACATTAAAGTCCAGTCATGCCTGACTCTAGGGGGTGGTGCTCATCTCCGTTTCCTAGCCGAGGGAGCCAGCGTTTGTCCGCAGACGGTCTCCGTGGTCATGTGGCCGGCATGACTAAACACCGAAGTGCAAGGAACGCTGTTACCTTCCCACCGAAGTGGTACCTTTTTATCTACTTGCACTTGCATGCTTTTGAACTGCAAGGTTGGCAGGAGCTGGGACGGAGCAACGAGAGCTCCCCCCATTGTGCAGATGTTAGCTTTGAGGTAATCTGCACAGAAACTGTTTGAGTATGAGTAACCTGCAGACCTGTCAGCTGAACAATCCACTGAGAGCTGAACAGTTACTTAGATGAAATCAATTTCATCCTTTAATTAAAAGAAGAAATATTTGATTGCAAGAAATATTGAGAAAATGCAATTTCCTGATAAAGCATTTAGATCTAGAAATCCTTAGAAATGTTCTCTAATAGCAAGAAACATATTTTTTCTTAACTATGCCATATTAAGAATTTGTATTTTTCAAGTAAAATGAACACAGAGGTTTTGCCTTTACTATTCCTTGTTAGAGCAGAATTGAGACTGATCCCAGATAAAAACAAAAACTTGTCCTGGAAACAAACATGACAAAACTGAGGCTTCATACTTAGGACACATCATGAGAAGACTTGCTGGAGAAGACAGTCATGCTAGGAAAGAGGAAGGCAGAAGAGGGGGAGGAAGACCAAATATGAGGCTGAAGTCATACAAAGCAAGCCACATCCTTGGGTTTACAAGAGCTGAGCAGGGCTTTCAGGACAGGGCCCTTTAGAGGGCATTCATTCCTAAGCTGAAGACAGCCTGAAAGCATGCGGCAACCAGATGGAAGTGGACTAAACAGCACACAGAACAAGACAGGATGATCACAACTCTGGAAGCGGCTTGCTTTAGGAGTGTGTTGAGGTAAGATACAGCAATTCCACACCCTTTTGTGCTTAAGTTGAAAGGCACATCCCTTTGAAATACAAGGGATGCTGCTTAGAATACTTTTGAATTCAGATACATGTAAATGCAGATATAAAACGTGCCTCTCACGAATTACAACAGCACGCACACGTGCATGCGCACACGCGCACACACACACACACACACTTGCATTTAAAGTGTCGTTCTCCTATGAAAGCAATGACAAGGAAAAGTACATGCCCCCAGTTCAACACAGAAGAGCAGCAATTTAGATAAGTATGCTATTCCCAAGGGACAGAGGGAGTTCTCTCTATTTGTTTCCAAGTGCTAGGAGTATTTAAAGAAAGTAAGTTCACTGTGTGATGGTCCAAAAACAGAAAAAGCTACGCTGCAAGTTAACCTCAAAGGTTCCTAGATTTGGGTGTATAATGTAATATTATTAACATTGTAAAGAGTGTGATACTAACGACTGCCTTTCAAACAAATCTAATAAAGAAAATGTTACCTGTTTCACTGGTAAACACTTGTACATTCAAGGGTTTAGGTACAATCTCTTGGTCCTGATCATAGCTGTAATCCAAATTCACAGGTCTAGGAACAGAAACCAGGAGTTAAATTAATCCTTTACTATATGGTGACACATTAGAAGACATGTAAATGACCGACATGTAGGCCAAATTAGACTGCAGCGGCATACAATGGTTTGACATTATGTGGCTGAGCTGCATGGGAAGACCTCATCACCTTGCCACGCAAAGAAAATGTAAACTTCTGCTCCTAATTTTGACCAAAAAAATTCAGCTTTGTCCAAATGTGGCAAACTAGGGCTTCTGCTAAGCCTGGTTTGATGGCAACCCATACTTTGTGCAAACTATTCCTTTCCTCATTCAGACAAAATGGCTATCTTTGCTTTGTTGGAAATTAGAAGGAACAGTAAAATGCATCATATAGAAGACTGAAGGGGGCACCAAGCAATGACCAGGAACGTGACTCTCTTCCCCAGCATAGGTACACATTAGCACAAACACCAGGGCCGGTGGCTTGCCCCCAGTCACCCCAGGGAGCTTCCTTTGTGCATTTTAAATCATGTGGGGGACTTAAAGTTTTCGTGCTTTGTGGCTTGACTATGAAAGATTCATCTGAAAAGGAATTTAAAAAACATTTAAAATGGGCTCGCTATGACCATGGGCAAGCTACAGAAAGCAGATCATGCTACAAGAGGGGAGTTCTTTATTTGAGTTATACAACTGTGTCAGAAGTACATCCTGGGTCATAGTCTGTTTTCTACACAACACACAAAGCAGTCTGATCCAACCTGCTACCCTTCAGATGTGTTGAATGGTGATGGCTGGAAATTAAAGATGGCAAGAACCTTTTGCAACCGTTTTGGTGCCGCAGGGTACATGTAGCAGCATATGAAGCAGACAAAATTGCTCGTTACAATTTTAAACACCTCCAGACAAAAGTAGGTAGAAACCCTCAAAACGCACTTCAATCCTATGTCATCCAGGGAGATTTCCAAAGGTGCTTCAAGCTGTTGGAAAACAAGAACACAAAACTCAGTTTTGAGTTATTATTTAGCCCAAGTGGAACAGCTGAGGTAGCAACTCTACAGGGACTTGCAACTTGCTATTATGTTGCAAGAGGAGGGGTGGAGAATTAACAGACAGATGCTATCTTATTTACCAATATTCTCCATGAAATGTTCAGAACAGTAAATCCTTAGACTATAAAACTACCAAAAATAATCTGTGTGTGCCCTTTCCCCCAATCCTGCTGTAACTGATTCCACTTTATCAGTCGATTTTATTACCTGCCCAGGAATGCTCCTGTCCATCACAGGCATTCTAAAAGTCCTAGAAATTTACTTAGCAACACCAACTGCAGGTTAGAATTTGGTGTAGTGGAGCAATAAAGCAACTGATGTGTTAAAGACACTGACAGATCACTATCAACACACTTATTTTATTACTGCATATACTATAATTTATATATATGCAATACAACTTTACACTAGAAAAGATGATAACTATGCTACATGACCGGCCAAACTGATTCTGTCGATACCGCTTTACAGCAACAAATACATTTTAACAAAATGTTAGAAGTGCATTTTACATGAGGTTAATTGTAATGAAACTATTGTCAACCAAGACATTGTTAACAATCGCTGAGCTGGCCTTAGACCTTTTGATTTTCATTTCTGTGCTATTAGTATCTATGCTACTTAACTTCATTTTTTGAACTGTTTTACATTAGATGACCCAAATACCATAATCCATCCATCCATAGGCCCTCTTGTTTCTTTAAATGCATTATGTTTCAGTGAAGCCAAGTTGCACATTCAACTGTAAGTCATTAGGTGCCAAAGTGAACAAAATGCACAAGTTCATGTGTGACCCAAGGTTTAAAGGTGCTTAAAGCACTGAGCATAATTCAGCCCTAAATCTGCAAAAGCTACTTACACTGACAATATTCTGAACTAAACAAATAAAAACTTGGCACAAAAACTTACTATTAGTTTAAAGTTTTTATCAGGATAGAACTGAATACAGTTTAACGTGTCCCCTGATTCCTGCAAAGAAAAAACAAATTAGCATGCATTTAGACACTTGGGGTCCTTGTAAAGTGCACAACATCACTCTGGATAAGATGATGGAAACATGAGAGTAGAGAAAATCATTAGATGGGAGGAAATTTAACTGTTCTTGTGTCCACAAGTATGTTCTGCAAATGCACTTGCAAACATCAAACATCAGCCAGTTCCTATCTAGTAGCAGAGTCCAGCTGTGAAGGAAACTTTTAAAAAGCTACTTGAAGGCATTTGCAGGAAAGAGTAAGTAGGAAGGGGAAGAATTAAGTTCCTCCCTCCCACTTACCAGTTCTCCCCTGCTAATACTTCCCCAAGGCCCTGAATTAGCATTACAAGGGAAACTCGGGGCTGGGAATTGAGTTTCCCTGGAGTGTCTAATTCTGCTCTTAGAAGCTCTCCATTGTTAAATATGACCCTTTTTTGAACATAAGTGACCCGAGTGAGCAGAAGAACTCACCAGACACTGCTTTGTCACATCTTTCCTTCCTCCTCCTGTCTACCTTCTGTCTGCAAACACTTATCCTTATCTGTTTCATAAGAGGAAATCTTTTTGTGGTTGTGAAAGCTGCTTCCCTTTAACTTTTGGCAAAAACATCTTAGATCATTTGTGCATACTATCTTAGGTCAGAGAACCTCTTGCAAACTCAGAAAAGCTAGTTTCTAGTTCTAAGTTATAGTCCTCAAGTCATGTCTTTATTTTGCAACAGATTTTGATAGGGCTATAAATTGCATGCCTGCTTAATATTTAACAAGGGGGCTAGCAACTCTATCAACAATGATGGCAAAATTCCAGGCAAGAGTATTATCTCTTTGTGGTATATTCAAGCCAAGCAGGTTTGATTGTCCAAACTGCTGCCACAGCTTGTTGCCCTCCAAATCCGGCAGAGGGATTGTACAAGGGTTAAACAACTCTCCCATAGACTGTTTCAGGGTCATGTGAGGTTTGTTTAACCCTTGCAGAATCCAACCCCACTAGGTTCAGACAATGCAAGCCACAGCTACAGCTTGAATATTCAAAATGGCCCTGATGGGATGTTTGATTATGAAAGCTGGACCTATCTTTCTCCTGTATGGTCTTCTTTTAAGTGGATTCAATATTATGTTATGAATGCCAGATTTTGAGTGGTGGGCACCATAATCTTATCAATCTGTAGTTACAGCAGTGATGACACCATTGGTATATGCGATTGGTATATGCTATGGACAGCAATATTGCTATATTTCTCTTTTTTCCCTAGAAAGAAGGCCTTTTTAGAGTCTCCTGTTGAACTTTGCAGAATCAATATTTAATTTGTTACAGGTTTCAGTCACAAAATGTGTTCCCAATAACAGGGCCTAGAATATACCATTTGGTAATATTGAATGTTTTTTCCTCACCAGTGACTAGCTGTATCTTTCACCTACTCACCTAGGATTAAGTATCAGAGCATTAAGAACAGATGGCATGAAAACTCCAGTTTTGATATGTCTTTTTATTATCAAAATATTGCAACTATTTTAACATCAATATTCTCAGTGCCATGCATGTTATTGAGGGGAGAAAATATTCCTAAGTTCAACCTTTGGGACAATGTAGAATAGTCTTTGTTCCAGCATGTCCCACTGGACCCAAATGAAATCATCAGCAATTCTCTCTCTCTTCAATCGGTTTGAATTTTCAATCACCTGAAAGGGAAGGAAGTGACACTAATTAGGAAAACCATGGACAATAGCATGTGTCAAATCAAATAAACTAAAGGAACTACAGACTGTTCAGACCATATTCATTTTCAGAAGGTCTAGTCATGCAGTAAGATCATGAACTGCCCCAAGTTCACTTGCTTCCTTCCCCCTTATTGCCAGCATGTAGAAGCAACACCTGAACTAGATGATTCTGTATCTAATTTACCAACACGATCAGGGTACCTACTCATTCCCCAAAAATGGATTGAGACATTTCTTCACTAGGCTCCCATCATGTCCTTAGGCCACCCCCCAGCTGCCAACGAGTGTTATGTGGTGGGTTGGTGTTGGCCACCTAGTTGCTCATTTGATCTTCAGTACACTCTGATCACATGATGATCATTTAGGCTATCAAAAACTGCTTACAGAAGATCACTATAGAAAGAAAACCAATTCTCATCCCCATCCTCAGACAACCAACCAACAAAAGCATCACTTAAAAGTTTTAGCTTCTTACCACTCTGTGTCCTTCTCTGACAACTTTGATGTCAAATTTTTCAATATCTTAAAATCAAAAACAACATCTTTGTGACTTTTGATATATTATGCACAAAAGCTCTCAATGAATTCAAAGATTGTTCTTTTCCAACCAATTAGCACTTCATTTCTACACATCTGTGCCAGGATGTCTGCATGCAAAAATGTCCTGAAGGAGTAGGATAATGGTGTTTCACTGACTTTTTGTGAAACTCAGATAGCACAGATTCTGTGCCACAGACACTGAGTGCCTCTGCACTGTTGTAAAATGTTCGGCACATCAGTATAAATATTATTTTCAAAACAGATAATGAAAATAATGCTTTTAATGAAAATGATTTATTTTTAAACAAAATGCATTAGGTCAAGCCAGAAACCCCTTACAGTTCTATAAGATTCTCTAGATATCCCATAGATGTTACTACGGAGGCACATGCCTAACCCCAAACAGCCTTCCCAATCTCCACATCAAAAATCCTGGAACTTTAAAAGCAGTTTACCAGGACAGCTTGCTGTTTGCTAATTCTTGCATCTTGCTGGGAATCTGCCCATCATCCTACATCTAATTGATAAAAATTATCATGTACAAATAAGCAACAAATAAGTAAATAAATGTATATTCGTAAAAATGGTTTATATCTGTTAGCAATTACTTATGATTCTATTCAGAGTGTGTTTTTGGGAGAACACTTAATATGATTCTATGCAAACAGCAATTAGAATAAAGCAACAGCTGTTAAACAATTAGGGCAACCTATTTACCATTGCAAGAGTTATCCCTTGCAGAGAAATGTTTTGATGGCCATGATGCACTGACAATAGGCTTCCAGCCACAAAATCAGCCCTTCTTGTGACTGTGAAGCCCTTGCCATGCTCCATCCACAAAACTCAATGCTCTTTCAAACATGCAGAGGAGGGCAGGAAATGGAACAATGAGCTCCCATAGCGACATATTTTAGGAATCACACTATTATGCCAAAAAAGACTGCATAAGACCACATCCATCAGCACTGATATTTCAACCATTTCCTTCTCTCACTCAATTTAAGGGAAATAGAGTAAATAAACATACACAGATTCCCCCAGAACACTTATATATCATATTTCATTCCATAATGCCTTTACTTAAACAGAAGACATTACAGAACATTCACTCAACTTGCAATCAAAAGATCCATGTAATTCAATTGTTTGTAAAATGCTTACATTTATCTTCTGAGAAAAGCAACAGACAGCTTTCAGGAAAAGTACTTGTTTCTGCAACTGGATATAAAAACTGTAAAAAGAAATTGTTCAGAGATAACAGAAGAATGAACGTTGTTGCAATCAGACAACAGTTTATATCATAGTACAATTGATAAAACAATTATTTTAACAATTAATAACATATTTTAAGTCACAAATTAAGTCACAATTGATAAAACATTTTAACAATTAATATCATATTTTAAGTCACAAATGATATTTACAATATAAAGCAGGCTTTGTGGCATAGACAACAAAAATCTAACAATTATCACTACATACCTAATTATTGTTCTACCAATGGAATCACTTACCTGCACTTTGATGCAGCTATCCACAGCCTTTAAAACTTTTTCATTATTAACTGGGTGAATTTCAACCAGCAAGGTCAAACATTTAGACACTGTGGTAAAAGCACAAACAAATCAACATTACTCTGTAAGTCGTACATTATGTCCCACATCCATATAAAAGTAGAGTAATATTTTAAGTACCTGGTTGAAATAGCAGATTTATTCTTTCTTCCTTTCTTGGCTGCAGAAAAGTGACTGCTAATTTAAGAAAATGCATATTGAAATTGTAAATGTGGAATACTGAATCCTACAAGACTTAGCTGGGGTAAGTTATTCTGAAAAAATACTACTGAACTTATGAGCATACATAGACTAGTAAGAAGGTAGTTATTTCATGTTTTAAAAGCATGTCTGTCTCCAAAATAGCATCCTGTAGGCAATATGGTGATAAAGTTTTACAAAAGATGATACAATTATCAAGAACCAACAGATCCTCATAATTATACAACAAATCCTAATAGAAAAGTGCCTTTGGGAACTTACCCAATAATGTCTTTTCATGGTTGACTGAGCAGCTGATTACATGCAGATCTTTCTCAAAAGTATAAATGTGCTATTGAAGACAAAATCTTTGGTTAAAATCTGTATTATACAAAGTGCATTAGTTCAGCACTTAATTTTCAGGACATGCTGTAAGCAAGTAAAAACAGCTCTGAGCTGTCTATTCAGTTGTCTTTCTCCACGTTCTTTCTATTTGGGTACTTTAACCACCATAAGATTGGTTAAAGCAAGGAAAATAAATTGCTGTTCCTTCTAAGCCAGTTTCTTTAAAGTACACTTTTGTGCTATAGTAACGAAGTCAGGAAAGATACCTTACTATACCACATCATCCTATGCTGCCCTAATTATATACTGGTTGCACCTTGTTCATTGTTCATCGCTCTTTTAACAAAAAAAGTTAAATACTTTATTGTATGGATCTGTTAGGTACAGTCATGTGTACAATGTTATTCATACAGCTGCAAATATTACAATGAGAATATTATATCTGTTATTAATTATTCTATTTGCATGCCAAATTAGAATTTACTACTCCAGAAATTAAGTTGGCAATCCATTTTTACCATTCAGATCTGAGGAATACATTAAGAACGGCCAGCAAGTTACAAAATTATCTTTCTTTATTTCCCTCTAATCACAGGTTAGTTTCTTTGTCAACACCACCATCTGTATCCTATCAAAGTATCTCTGAAATGGACAGTCCTTGTTCATGTTTCCAAGTTCTGGCAATCTCATTTCTCACACCCCCTACAAGTGTTCCCAACAGTTTTTACAAGGCAACACCTCATGCTCCCTAGTAAACAATGAAAACAGTAATAAAGTTTCATTAAGCACTGACTTAAAATGTGTTGCATTATTAAGCTACTCTACTACTTCAAGGATAGTTTGATCTTTATATAAAAGATATGCACATGTTCAAATGATGTCCTTAAGCCTTAGTTTCTCCAACACATATTATTATTAATGTTATTTATTTATTTATTTAGACAGCTTATATGCCGCCCCCATCGCATAAGCCTCTTATGTTATGTTATGTAATCTGAAAAACCACATCTTATTTCACTGAAATGGTCCTGCCAATCCCCGTATAAGAACAGGTCTATATTTTACACAGTCTATAAATATATAGATATAAATATTAAGTTTGTATTACTCCCAGCTATAATCTCTTCCATTTTTGGCAGAATTTATTTTTCTAACAACTCAATACAAAGGAATATTTGGCAACAAGAACAGAAATGTTAGTAATATATTAATTTTTACTACTGCAAACTTACCTAACAGAAATAGATTTAACTTAGCCCAGTTATTAAGTTTTTCCTTTATGGAAATAAAAATGGCTTTATAATGTTTCTATTTTATTAATTTTACAATATAAATTACAACTAGAAAGAACTCATAGCTAAAATAAAAACATGTAGCATTAAACATACAATTAAACATACAATTAAAATAACTCTTAAAAGTACTGTGCACCCCATCACCAGGGCCATAGGATACATGGTACAGGGAAGAAAGCTCATACCAATTTTTTTCAGGACATTTTCCCATTGCAAAATTTCAGTGATTCTTTGCGTGGTTCAAATCCTTTTCCTTTTTAAAGCACATATTCAATAAATGCATCCCAAATCTCATTAAATTTATTTTCCATTATATGCTCTTTTATCGCTTTAGTATCACAAGTTAATTTATCATTAATAGCTATATTCCAAATTTGTCTTAGCTATGACAAATCTTACAGCAGTTATTACATTTATTATTAATCCTTTATTATTCTAAGTCCATTGTTTCATCTCAAAAATTGAAAGTAATGTGATCTCAGGGCAAATTTCAATAGTTAAACTTAATATTTTACTACTCACTTTAAAAACTTAGTTCCAAAACTTCATTATGCATTCACATTATACATTCATTACGTATATGAAAATATACACCCATTCCATGGCTACATCTCCAACATAAACTGGAGTATGTACTATCTATACCAGGGGTCCTCAAACTATGGCCCGCAAGCCAGATACAGCCCACCAAGGTCATTTACCCAGCCTGCCTCACAGCTTTCGAGGAAACGATCTCTGAATGAGTCCAAAAGCTCTGAGCGGTGCAAGCATACTCTGAAACTCTTTCAGTTTTGGAGACTAGCAGAGAGCCAGTACACACGCCAAATTGTGACAGCTCCCTTCAACTGTGTGTGCACCAGCTCTCTCTGCCATCTCTGGCTAGCTCTGCTGTGCTGGTCCTGCCAGCATGAATTGTGCACACGCCGGCTCTTCCCCCTGCTGCACACATGTTGGCTCTGAATACAGAAGAGAGAAGCAAGAATACAGAAGAGAGGAGAGAATATGGAACCAGACATTGACCATCTCATTAGCCAAAAGCAGGCCCATACTTCCCATTGAAATAATGTTGATTAAAATGGCTCTTCATTTTAATTATTGTATTGTTTTTTCCTGTTTTTTGCACTACAAATAAGATATGTGCAGTGTGCATAGGAACTCGTTCATATTTTTTCAGACTATAGTCCAGCCCTCCAACAGTCTGAAGGACAGTGAACTGGCCCCCCGTTTAAAAAGTTTGAGGACCCTTGATCTATACAGTTCAGCTTCACTAGGGTTAGGTACCACTTCCATACAATTTTATAAAAGTTTTCCTTTATTATTACTGACATATATTTAAACATCATTTTCACCCAAATATTTTCCCAGTCTTTGTTGTTAATGTTCTTTCTCAGATCTGCTTACAGTGTTGCTTTAAGTGGATAAGATTGATTGTTTTTCTAACAATAATGTAGAAATTTAGTTACTATCCTTTTCATCCGCATATTGTCTTGCGTTTTCTATAGATTTCTATAAGATGTTCTATAATCTATGCATTTTCTATAGATTTCTATAAGATTTTCTGTAATCTTATTTGCAAATTTGATGTAATCTCTGCATCCACCTGTTTTCTTTATCCATCTTCTAGTCCAGCATTCTAATTGGATCACATTATAACGAGTTATTTTTTCTTTTCCTAGTACTGCTTTTATCTCCCCATTTTTATTCATTTTCTCTAACCCTAACCCAATTTTTTGTTTATTCTTTAGTATTTTCCCTAAAGTATCTCTTAGATTTATTGGAAACCCTTCTAATTCAGCAACTGGACATAATGATGAGACTGATGGCATAAACCTTTCCTTATATGTATTCCAAATTTGTAATATATATTGAAGGAAAGGATTTTCTACCTTTAAAAATATTTTTATTATCATATTTGAAAAAGAGATCTTTCCAGGATCCTTCTAGTTGAAAAAATTCTAATTTTAATCCTATTACTTGGACTTATAATTTCTATAAAAGAATTGGTTGGCATTTCTTCTCACCAAATTCCTAAACATTTAAAGCTTGAATAGTCAATAGCTCTATACTTTTAATTGGATTTTCCAGTTATTTATCCCAGAGCTCTGAAAATTCTACTTTATTTATACCTATTATTTTATTTATTATTTTTATTTATTAAAACATTTTTATGCCGCCCCATTCGCCGAAGCCTCGGGGCGGCTTACAACAACAAAAAATTAAAATAACATTTTAAAATATATACAGTAAAATACAAATATATAATTTAAAACATACAATATAAAACAAGCCGCCCTGGCCAAATAAAATTCAATAATATTAACATTTAAAATACTGCTTAAATAAAAAGGTCTTCGCCTGGCGCCGAAAAACAAATAACGACGGCGCCAGGCGGACCTCTCTGGGGAGCGCATTCCATAACTTAGGCGCCACTGCTGAGAAAGCCCTCCTCCGAGTAACCACCCTCCTAACTTCTTCCACGGAGGGCTCCCGGAGGAGGGCCTCTCCCGCCGATCTCAGGGGGCGGCTGGGCATATATGGATGCAAGCGCTCCTTCAGGTTATCTCCATCCCCCACACCCTCTGCCCAATTATCAGACAATTCTATATTCATAATCAGTGTGGTTCCATGTAGTAACACCTGTCTTACCTGTGTCAAGGTGATATGATGGCAGCCCACTTAAATAAGGAGGATGAGTTTGCCTGCATTGCATAGGCTCACATTCTCTCTAACTGGGGGTACTCTTAGACTTAACTTTGTTTCTGGATATCAAGCTGTGCCAATGCCCAGGGAGCCCTTTTACACATACATCAGGACTGACAAACAATTCCCTCTTGGAATGCTTCTGTGATTTCTCATTCAAGTTGTGCACAGATTATTTAGATTACATCATACTCCATCAGTTTCACCTCTGTTTTAACAGAGCATTTTCTGGGGTGGTGATTGTGTGGGGGAAATGCAGTATTATTTCTAAAGGCAAAAAACATTTCCCCTCCTGTATAACTGTAGTATTCTGTTACACAATATAGTAAGGCTATGTAATAGAAAAGCAGGAAAGGAAAAGCGCTGTGTAAAGCTCAGCTCTCAATTCTGTACTGGAACTGAAAGTAGATAACAACCTCATCTAGAAAAGTTCTTGGTATACAATTGTTTGGTAACTTCTCAATCCAGCATCTGCAATATACTTTGCATGAGTCTCCTCTAGACATATGTTTGCAAGATGTAGAGTGTGCATCCATCTACTAATGGAAGTTGGAAGACATGCAGTATTGATTTTCTCAATAGTTCTCATTTGTTGCCATGCCTGATTCGACATGCCGGCACCACTTATAACAGCCAAGATGCATAAGGAGACTGCCTTCGCTCAGGATCGTTTTCCCCATGATGGCATTGCAAATTTTAAATCCTATACCACCCCCATAAGAACTGCTAGGCCATTTCTCTCTTAAATGCCATTATACTGGCCCAGACATTTTGGTCTATAGGCATTTAGAGAGATTGATATTGCTGCATTATATGGTTTCATTAACCATTTAAGTGTAGATACAAATTCATTAAAAGGTTTTATTATTGTTACTTTTGTTGTAAGCTTTCTCTTAATCACTGGTGGAAAAGTAGGTAAAATGAACTTTTATCTTGCAAAACACTTCACAAGTGTTTTACTTTCACTCACTGCTCAGTAAGTGTAAGAGCAAATTAGGCTTACCTGGTTTTTTTGGTTCCTGGGATCGAACAATCCAATAAAGGTGTGTCCCTGATTCCCCTGTAAGGAAAATTAATTTGCTGTGAGTGCATACATTTTAGAACATTCACTTTCTCACCATCCATGACAACATCGTAACCCTCTAAGATTACCAACCATTTATTGTTTCTGTGCCTTTTATAGCCAGACAAAAGCAAATTAGAAGCTGATCTGTTCACTGTCATGCAGCTACAGAAAGAGGAAAAGCTTCAGCTAGACCGGCGCACACAGAGCCTGCTTCAATACCCTGAACAGGAGCCTGGCATACTGAAATTCACCCATTGACCTTCTCTTGGTATGAAGATAATTGCTGCATCCTGTTGAAGGCACAGAAGATGTGCCAACTGGAAACACGACCATTCTGTCATGCAGCCTGGGGAACCAACACAGCCTGTGCTGTCCCACCATGAACCTAGGTGTCAAATCCAGGCCCTTCAGGAGCCCTAGTTTCTTTAAAAAAGGAACATGTACATTTAAGTACACTCAGTGTAGAGGAAGGGCAAAACTTCAATTTTTGAGGACAAGGTGAGTGATATGAAGGGGGAACCACAGCACAGTAGGAGAAAACATTGTTGTGTCCATTAAGGTCCCAGGTCCAATGCCAGTATCACCAGTTAAACAGGCTCTCAGTTAACAGCTGATGAGGAAACCACTAAATGACCCAAAGGCCATGCAAAGCAATTAGGCAGTTACTGGTAAGGCAGGTCCAGGAACTATTTTTAAAGGCCAATGTGTGTGTTCCCTAGTGAAACCACTTTAGTTGTGGTTGCCTGGATACCAGCAGCTAGAAAATGGCATTTATCTCATTTTATTTATTTAACTTCATGTTCAATAATTATAGCCCTCCAGGCAGGTAACAACAATTTATACAAAATAATGAAATACAAAAAATGCAATATGAAAAACAGAAATGGAAATCCTTTAAATAATTATAACATATTCAACAACCAAGATATGAGAAGAAGAAAAGAACTGCTGACTTAAACTGCTAGTGCCAGATACACCTCACGGGGAGTATCTTCCCTAACTGGGAGCTGCCACTGAGAAGGCTCTCTTCCACTTGGCCACCAACTGAGCCTCCCTCAGAGGTGGCATTTGAAGGAAGGCCTCCGATGCTGAGTGTTACATACAGATACATTTAGGTCAGGTATTACACTTGCAACTTGTATAAGGCTTTATATGTTAAAACCAAAGCCTTCAATCAGGCTCAGAAGCATACAGGCAGCCAATGCACATGGGCTAGAATCTGCATACTCTGATCTTCTGGTCGCAGTTATTAATCTGGCTGCTGCATTTTGCACAGTTTCCAAAGGCAGCTGCATGTAGAGTGCATTGCACTAAACTGACATGGAGATAACTAGAGTGTAGATCATCGAACACAGGCTATCGCTGTGCAAAGCTAGAGGGGCAAAGCTAGGCTACCAGTCAAAGCTGGTAGAAGGCACTCCAAGCCACTGTGGACATCTGGGCCTCAAGGGATGGCTCAAGAAGGACTCCCAAGCTATCAACCTGCATCATTAAAGTGAGAGCAACTCCATCTAGAGCAGGGTGAATACTCTCCCTTCAGTCAGCACAACCACCCACGAACAGCATCTCAGTCTTGTCTGGACTGAGCATCCATTTGTTAGCCCTCAACCAATCGACTCCTGCAGCCAGGCACTGATTTAGCATGTCCACAGCCTCACCTGATGGAGATGAAAAGAAATAGAGCTGTGTGTGTGTCATCTGCATACTGATGGCAAAGCACTCCAAAACTCCTCTCAGTCATTGCATTTAGGTGACAAATACTATGGAGGACCAAACTGACCCCTGCAGAACTCCAAGCTGGAGAATCCATGGGGCTTAGCAATATTCCCCAAACACCACCTTCAGGAGTCAGCCAACCAAACAGGAACAGAACCATTGCAATGCAGTACCTCTCACTCCCAGCGCAAACAATGGTCCCTGAAAGATTTATTTATTTATTTAGGGGACTTCTATGCCGCCCCATTCGCCGAAGCCTCGGGGCGGCTCACAACCATAAATAAATAGACTCCAAAAAACAATATAAATTAACAATATAAATTAAGTCGCCCTGGCCGAAGAATAAAATGAATAAATAATATTAACAATTAAAATAACATTTGAATAAAAAGGTCTTCGCCTGGCACTGAAAAACAAATAACGACGGCGCCAGGCAGACTCTCTGGGGAGCGCATTCCATAGATTGGGCGCCACCACAGAGAAAGCCCTCCTCCGAGTACTTAACCTCCTAATTTCCTTCACAGAGGGTTTCCAGAGAAGGGCCTCTCCCGCTGATCTCAAGGGGCAGGCGGGCATATATGGACGTAAGTGCTTCTTCAGGTAACCAGGACCCAAGCCGTTAAGGGCTTTATAGGTCATCACCAACACCTTGAATTGGGCCCGGACTTCAATGGGAAGCCAGTGAAGCTGACAGAGGACTGGAGTCATGTGAACATAACGCCCAGTCCCCATCAGCAGCCTAGCAGCTCTATTTTGAACCAACTGAAGTATCCGGACCGTCTTCAAGGGCAGCCCCACATAGAGCACGTTACAGAAGTCAAGTCGGGAAGTCACCAACGCGTGTGTCACTGTCGCCAGGCAGTCATTCTCCAGGTAGGGGCGCAGCTGATGGATCAGCCGAAGCTGAAAGAAAGCGCTCCTCGCCACCGCTGTCACCTGAGCTTCCAGTGAAAGCTCTGGGTTGAGGAGCACTCCCAAGCTGCGGACCTTGTCCCTAAGAGGGAGTGCAACCCCATTCAGGAATAGGTTCAATTCACCTTCCCCGAAGCCTGATCCGCCAACCAACAGGACCTCCGTCTTGTCTGGATTGAGCTTCAGTTTATTGGCCCTCATTCAGCCCATTACCTCAGCCAGGCACCGGTTCAGCACAGCCACTGCCTCACCTGGATTGGTGGAGAACGAGAGGTAGTGCTGGGTATCATCAGCGTACTGATGATTCCGCAGCCCACACCTCCTGATGACCTCTCCCAGCAGTTTCATGTAGACATTAAACAGCAAAGGGGACAAAATGGACCCCTGCGGTACTCCATGGCATAGCTGCCATGGTGCAGAGCCATAGTCCCCCAGCACCACCTTCTGGAATCGGCCATTGAGATAGGAGCAGAACCACTGCAAAGCAGTGCCTCCGACCCCCAATCCCACTAGCCTATCCAGAAGGATACCATGGTCGATGGTATCGAAAGCCGCTGAGAGGTCCAGGAGAACCAACAGGGACACACTCCCCCTGTCCTCCCTGCACAGGTCATCGTACAGGGTGACCAAGGCAGATTCAGTACCGTACCCGAGTCTGAAGCCGGACTGAAATGGGTCCAGATAATCAGTTTCATCCAAGAGTGCTTGCAGTTGTCCCGCCACCACCCGCTCCAACACCTTGCCCAGAAACGGGATGTTGGCCACTGGTCTATAATTAGTGGCCATCTCTGGATCCAGTGATGCTTTCTTCAGGACCGCTCGGACTACCACCTCCTTTAAAGGGGCAGGTACCCGATCCTCCCTCAGAGAAGCGTTAACCACTTCCAAGATCCAGATCCCAATCCCGTGCTTGGCGTTGTTAATTAACCAAGATGGGCAAGGGTCCAATAGGCAAGTGGTGGGACGTACTCGTCCAAGCACCTTGTCCACATCATCAGGCCACAATAACTGAAATTCATCCATTAATTTTGGACCAAATGGTGACATTGGTATCTCCCCAGAAGCCTCTGAGTCACTAGTAGAGTCTAGCTTGTGACAAATCTGATCGATTTTCTCCCTGAAATGCTTGGCAAAGTCGTCACAGCGGGCCTTCGAGGGTGGAACCAGATCTTTCTTAGGGCCAGGACAGACCAGGCCTTGTACCACCCAAAAAAGCTCCGCTGAACAGCATTTGAGGAGGCAATGGAAACGGAGAAGAATTTCTTTTTTGCCGCTCTCACCGCCACAGCATCGGCCCAATAATGGGCTCTCAAGTGTGTTTGGTCAGATTCATCCTGTGATCTCCTCCACCTACGCTCTAGCCGTCTCCCAGCCTGCTTCATCGCCCACAATTCAGATGTATACCAAGGGGAAGAGTGGGCTCTGCCTGGCGGGAGAGGACGCTTAGGAGCGATTGTGTCAACAGCCCTAGTCATCTCCCCATTCCATAGTTCGACCAGAGCCTCGACAGGAGCACCAATATTGTCAGCTGGAATCTTCCCCAGGACCTTCAGGAATCCGTCCGGATCCATCTGGCTCCGGGGGCGGATACCATGATCTATTGTACCAAGAGCCACCAAGAGATGCAGCAGTATCAACAGTGTCACTCCTCCCAGAGCAATCAAAGTTGCTTCTGTGAGAAAATCCAGCCCAAACCCCAAGCGAAAGGGATCTCAATAACCAGCCTCATACAAGAGTGCCTGAACATTGCCCAGGAAGGGAACTTTTGCCACCAACATACAGTTGTTGAGATCTTCCAGATGCAGGAAGGGTTTTTCAGACACGGTCTCACTGCTGCCTCTTTCAGGCCGCATGGGACCCTCCCTCTCACAAGGAGACTTTAATCGCTTTCTGGGCTCAGCTGGCTGTTCCCTCCCTGCTGATTTTTATAAGCCAAGAGGGGCAAGATCTAGTAAGAGAACGGCTATGCAAACCCATTCGAGCACCCTATCATCAACTTTGAGCTGTACCATATGAAACTCATCCAATAAATCTGAGCCAGGCTGTGCTCTGTCTATTTTGCCCAATTCAGCTGCTAAAATATTAAAGTCTACATCCTGCATGATGCAACAGATTTTATCTTGTAGGTACCTAGCAAATATTCTGCAGTGGGAACCAAAAAAGGTTCTTGGAGTCAGTTCCTGATTATCCTAAAAAGCACCACTGGGGAGCAAGCCTAAGACTTAAGAGAGCTAGGGAGAAGTTTATTTGACCCCACAATGCCCCTAAATATGCTTGACTATAGGTACACAACAAGTTTGATAGCATCCACCAGGAATTTTGTTCCATCTGCACGAAAGCCATCTCCTGTTTTGTTTCACTGCTTCCAGCTCCAGGTTCACCCCTGAGCCACACGAGTTCTAGGCGACTTGAAATAATCATGTCAGTTGCCTTTTGCTGGGCTTGACAACAGCCAGCTCTGTTTCCTCTTCCATCTATTCCAAGAACTGTAGTTCCAGGGCTGGCCCCCAGGGTAGACATAGTTGGGACAGCAAAATCCTCACACCCAGCAGGGAGCCACTGACAAAAGCCCTGCTCCCTGGCTTATTCCTCCTCTTCTCCGCTGCTACCGTCTTTTCACCTACCCTTCACACTGTCTAAACTTAAGTGGTGAGAAGGAGAAGCAGTCGATTGTAGGCAATTTTACAAATTGCACAAAAGCACCTGAAAAGCATCGAGACACTTTTCTTGATGCACTTTGATGGTGAAGGACAGAGAGGACAGCGGAATCCTATGCATATTTACCCAGAAGTAAGTCCAGTGGGGCTTATTCCCTCACAAACATGCATCCTGCATCACTAAATATGATAAACAGAAATACCTCATGGACTCCGGCAAGTCCAAGACAGTATTGCAAGAAGACTATTCTATCAGCTTTCTACATTAACCTAACACAGATAAATTGTTTTTATTGATCTGTAATTCACCCTGGGATACTTATTCGACTGAAAAGATGGGTAAAAATATTTAATCAAACAAACTAAGGTATAAAACCAGTAATTGAAACCTTTTTAAGTCCAAGCTTAAAAATTAAATTCAATGAAGAGAGAGACACAATTATCATTTCTGCACATGCATTTTCTTGTGTTACTTTTCATTAACACAAATATCAGATCTTATAGCCAGTCTCTCACACAGAAAGAAACATCAGGCTTACCTTCCAGGTATAAAGAACATTTCCATTTCTTTCAACATTTACTGTGTGTAGTGTTTCAAAATTATTCCCCAAAGTATCTGAAATAATAAGCATTAATATATCATAAACAGCCTCAGGCCAATTTAAATGCAAGCACATGTTTAAAAGAATATGCAAAGAAAAGTATGCTATTACAGTAACTGGTAATGCACGGGAATAATTGGTGTTTTTCAGTGTTTTTGTTAGGAGAGCATTTCCTCCACATGAATGAGAAAATTGTTTAGAATATGATGAACCATAGTATCACATGAATATTGTTACTCATGGGACAGCAAAATGCAAGATTAAATTTCATCTGTAAAAAGGGACTTTTAAATCATAGGAATGTATCTCACAAAGCCAAAAAGCCAACAGCTTACTGCCATGCTGATATTCTTGAAGCAGAGAGCCTTATACTTACCTGCAAGCTGGTCACAATGTCACAGTGTGCAGAAAGAAGAATGCTGGAAGCACACTAACCCTGCAAACAGATGCCAAGATGCAGGCAATGGATCCCATTTGAAACAGATGCAATGGTTCTTAATCCCCAATATCCCAAATACAGTCTTCTATAACCCGGGACCTCCAATGTGTTAGACTTCAAGTTCTGTCATCCCCAGGCAGTTTGGGGAAGGCTACACTTAAGCACAAGTTATTTTCTCGGGGGCTAGTGGGTGGCTAGTTTATCATGTTGAATATCAAGTTCAGCAAGATCACTGCATCTATTGGGAACTCTAGAAGAGGAAGGCCATCCAATACAACTGCTGTTGCACTGTTGCCCAGCCCATTGCACCAGTGGGAGCCTCTGCTTCCGGAGCGCACAGCTCGTCTCCCCAAAAGCCACTGGAGAAATTTGCGGAACGACTTCTTTTGCTATCAGAAAAGGTCAGCAGAGATTCCTCCCTATTCCAGAAAAGTTTGTCCACATGTTTCAGATTGCTTTTAGAACCCATAGCTGCCCCCTAGTCTTACCTCTTGCCAGCACCTATGCCTAGCATGCAAGAGGCTTATCTTCCATTCTTCACAGAGTGATAGCAGTTTGTTTATTATCCAAATCTGCTCTGTTTATTGCAACCCAAATCCTTAAAAAGTTGCCAGCTAAAATTTGTTTGTTTAGAGCTTTTATAGACTGTCCATCTACTGGCATCTTGGGACAGTGTTCCTTGTTAACGGAACAGACTTTTTAAGAGACAAAATAAAAGACGCAGATGGTAATCACTATTTTAGACAACCACTATTTTAAGCAAGGCATCTCTTTCTCTCTCACACAGAAAGCTTGTCTAAGATAAAGCTTGATAGGGTACATATATGCAGCATTTTTATTTTTTATTATATTTATATCCTGCTTTTTTCCTTTCCAAGGAATCCAAGATGGCCTACACTTCCTCCCAACAGCCCTGTGATGTAGGTTAGGCTGAGAGTCTATGACTGGCCCAAAGTCAGTCAGGGGACTTCAGGGCTGAGTGAAGACTAGAATCTACTCCTGAACCTCACTGCTTGCACTTGTTTTTGCTTCAGAATGACTGTTTTCATCTATATGCAAATTTATGTGTTAAACTAAAGGTACAACCTTATGAAAGTTTCACAGAAGGTCAGCCTGTTCCAACCAGCAGAGGTGGCTGGGGGACAATGGGATCTGTCCTTTTTTCCTATCTATTCTGGTTTAGGATTGCATCCTTAAAGCTGCAATCTTATACCCATTCACTGAGCAGTAAGTCTCTTGGAACTCAGCAAGACTTACTTCTCTGCTGCATGGACAAGTTTACACTGTAGCATGCTTATGATTGCGTCACCAGGGCTCAATCCTGTGTATATTTAGATAGAAGGAAGTTGAATATTCATAAAGATTTCCTGCTCTCTCATGTTTCACTTCTAGTATTCTTACCTTCTGTATGAATCACCTTCAGGTTATGGGGTGGCACAAAATGGAATTAAATAATTAAATAAACATTTTACTAAAGAAATATCACTGTTCAAGAAAGCTTCAACAAAGAAAAAGCCCTTCATACTTTACCTACACCTTAGTACTCAGAGCTTTCAGCCTCTTGTTTGATGCTGCATTCTAATTACATATGCTAATACACACCAGAAATGTCATTCTGAGCACTCACTGATTATGCAATTCCTTGTATTAACTTTGGGCAGGATCCAGTCAGGATAAGTACTTTTAAGGTTCAGTGATTTCAAGGAGAACAATTTAAGTTTTTGTTTAAGTCTTCCAAGATTAAGAATTGAATTTCTTTACACAGCACAGTAGAGCCATATCATCAAGTTTGGTATCTTACAAACACAAGAGGCGTTACACTCTCCAAATGAATGCTTGCACTCAACTACCTGACAGCATTAAAATAATCAAACAGTTTACTAGTGCCATTTGCATTTCCAAATATAACTTGTGACTGGGCATATAGCTTGGGAACAAGATTATACAGACCTCCACACAGGTCTTAAGAAAGCACGTTAACGCTAAATGCTTTCATAACAGTGTAAATAAAATTTCTGAAGAGCTGGGAAAGTACCATAAGGTTGACTGGTATTTCCAGTTATCTGAATATTCTGGCAACATATTCTGGTTCACATATCCTGTAACTATGCCATGACTCAAGGGCCAAAGTTATTAAACAAATGCCTTATAGCGTTAATTCCATAAAAGGTTTAGGTTGAGATACTGCACTCGACACAGTACATTGTAGCCAGTATCAATCCTACTTACAGCGGACCCATTGAAATTAATGGAACGTCAGTTCGACAAATATTGAATATAACCCAAGAGTACTTATTTTTAAGTAGATAATGGGTTAATTCTTGCCTTTCTTGAATACTTCTAGCTAGCTCGCCCCGAGTTTTGCTGCAGCCAGTTAGTTCCTGTTCTTCGCACAGGTGCCTAACTCGCCTGTCTATTTACTTCACGATTTACCTCCATGCTTTGACACAGGAGCAAAGGGGCTTCGTCAGCTTTAAAGCTCCACTTAGGCACCCCCAGCTGAGCGCGGCTTGTCACCGAAGAATAAACAGGAGACGCGCCAGCCAATTTGGAAACTGAGCTTTCCCCCACCCCGTCCAGTTTCCTCGCTAAGTGTACTTTGGATCTTACAGGACACGGGCAATGCTAACACGCGACTTTTCTTCTGCTTCTTCGAAAGAACATAACCCCTCACCAGCACTGAGGTCTCCCGCAGCCTGCTGCGAAAGCCAGGGCGCCACATCCCGCCGAGGATCAAACTGGGCGCTCAGCTGCAACAGCATCGCCCCTTCGGCTCGTGTCGCCCGCCCCTGCCTTCTGCTGGGGCGGAGCCAGGCTTGCGCGGCAGAGCCGGACCCCGGCCGCCCCGAGGTTCTGCCGCCACCGCTGCCCACGGAGCTCGTCCGGTCTCTCGTAACGCAGACAGCGCGCCCGAGCTGGGGCTCCCGCTGTTGCTGCTGCCGCTGCTGCTTTCGCTTTTGCTGCCGCGGTCGGAATCCCCGAAAGGAGGCGGAGAGGCCGCTGCCTATTGGCCGCCCCGAGCGCCACTCAGCGCTGCGTAGCGCCCCGCCCCGCCCCGCCCCGCGGTCCTCGGAGACCCGGCCAGGTCTCGGCGTCTGCTTGGGAAAGGGAAATCCTGCTCGTGGCTTTTTGAACTAGGGCGGGACGGAGCCGTGGGCGCGCGCTGGTTCGGACTCCGGCGGACCGTGGTGGCCTGGAGCCGCTTCCTCACGAGGTGTCCCTAGATCGAGAACTGTGACGATGCAGGACTAAAATTCAAGAGAAATGACTGCGATGCATGCTCGGGCAGCAAAATGGTCAACGATTCCCGGCAAGCCCCAGCTAGCATGGCAAGGAACCGGTAAAGTTCCCAAAGCCGGGGGATGACAATGCTTGAAATCCAGGTTAAGCGTTACTCATAGTGAAGGATAGTGGCATCGGGAGGAAAAGGCCATCACGCCGGCCACGTCCTTGACCCTTCCCCTCCAAAGCACAGTCACTCGCACCAACGGTAAATGGCTTCCTAGGATTGAAAGGTGGACCTTGCAGTCATTCAGCCACAGTCCCTCCTTCTTGCAGTATTTGAGAGAAATTAAACTATGTTCTCGCAAGATGTGATGTCTGCCCAAATCTACCCTGGCTTCAGACTACCCCAATTCAAAGCACATCATATATATTACATACGCACATGTACAAATTTAAGATTATTCGAATAAGAGCATATGCTGAATGCTTTTCTCTCACCATTGAGCACTTACAGACCTCCCCATGTTGTTCCCCTCCCCACAGCTTTTCTTTCTCACTCTGTGTCCTCCAGCAACTCTCCATGACCATAAATGTGTTTTCTTTTGTGTAACTCTCCTCCACCTCTTTCTTGAATTCCACAAGCTCTCAACTCCTTACTGTCCTCAAGCAACTACCATAACAATGAGTAGACAAAGAAAAGTGAAAGTCTCTCTTCAGGCTGAAAGGCTTGGTGTGTGGGTCCTCAAACTACCTCCTGCTGCATGCTCATTTATCCAGCCCACCTCAGAGCTTTTGCACTCGCTTGGAATGATCTCCAAGCGAGTCCAAAAGCTCTGAGCCAGTGCAGGCGTTCTCTGAAACTGAGCAGAGAGCTAGTGCATGTGCCAAATTGTAACAGCTCAACTGCACATGCACTGGATTCCCCCCCCACCCGCATTGCACGCATATACAGAGCAGGAATACAGAGTGGGAAACAGAAGAGAGGAGGGCGGCCTTCACTTGGCACTCCACCGCTGTTGAGTGGCTGCCATGCTTCCCTGCCGTGCTTCCCCACATGGCAGGGAGAGGTGAGGTACACCTCTCCACTAGCTGCGGCCCCTTCCCTCACCTCCCCTCGCTTTGGAAAGCAGCCTTTACTTCCCTCCTCGTGACCCTCTCCTGGCCGGGGGAGCTGCTCTGCGTTCGTCTCTCCAGCCTTCCTCTCCCACTCCTGCTCTTTCCAGGAACCAGGGTGGTGGCGAGGACTATAATTTCCATCATGCCCAACCAGCATGGCCAATGGAAGTTGTAGTCCAACTCACCTGGACAGTACCATTTTGGCAATATGGTAAATATGGTAAAATATGGTCATTAGCTCTGCATCCAAATACAGCCATTGTTTATTGTGGGAATTGTTCTGGGCTGAATTGCTTCAAATACTAAGAATGGCATTAACAGTATTTATCCTTAGTATTTTTGCTTCATTCTTGTAAATGCCAGTTGCAGTCATCAGCTGCATTATGCAAAATACTACTGGTTGTGTTTTAGCTTGGTTGTGTCGTAGCTATGTCCCTTGAATATGGACATGCTCTTCCCCACCTCATCTTGGGCTTCTGCTGCAGCCTGAGGGAGCAGAGCAAACATTTTAAATATTTTAATTATTTTTTAATTTTAATTATTTTTAAAAAATGATTAACTTTTAAATTTATTTTAATTAATTAACTGGCCCCCTGTTTAAAAAGTTTGAGGACCCCTGGCTCAGTGCCTTCATGCTATACTCCCTACTGGTCAATTAAGGGACTGGGTCTTAAGGTCTCCAGTAACTGTGCAACAGAAATAACATATTTGTATTAAGGCAGATAATGACAATTGGGGCAATTCTGGGGCATGTGTCCAGGTATGCTTTTTCATAACAACACACATGACTCTCTGATTCTGAGAATGCATACTCATGATAAAGCAGGTTTATTAGTAGTGGCGGATTTCTATTTTTTGCTTTTGTTCTCCATAATGAGCAATAAGTAAGTTTTCTTAATTATGAACTATTGTGTTTTTTGTATTGTATTTTTATTGCATCCAGTATTCTTCCTCTTTGGTTGTTGTAATGAACGGTTGTAAAAATAACATTGCGTCCATTGGCTTTACATGTGCATCCTTTTCATGTGGTAGCAGGGGTTGTTGTATCGAAGGATGGGGTGAATGCCTATTCAGCAAATAACAACTTGCAGGGCTTTTCATGTGCATTTGCTGGATTGAGTACTGCTGAATGTAATTTCTCGCACAAGATATTATACTAGAAGAAAACATGTAGATTAATCAAGGAAACAGACAACACAGTTGATGTATGCAATGTCTTTATTTATGTGCCTATCTATCATATAAGTCTGCTAAATAAATAAATAAATAAATAAATAAATATGGCATATTCACGTCACACTTCAATAAAAGACATGGGCATAAAAACATGACATACAAAATGTAAGATCGGAAACATTATGTAGGTTTCTCCCTGTGTCAGCCTTCCTCAGCCCAGCAACCTTCAGCATGCTGGCTGGAAGTTATGAGAATTGTAGTCCAACCCATGCAACAGATCGGAGAAGCCTGCCGTATACTATGCTTCCCAACCTGTGGATCTTGACTTCCGCAAAGGTATCAAGTTCTTGACAGGAGAGTCAAATTACCAGGGGAAAAACGGTTTCAGCTTTGACCTGAAGTGCAGGAGGGATTGTGCAGATTCATATCTGTGCAGAAGTATCAATATAGTCAATGGGATTTTCTCCAAAGTAGGCAGGTGTAAGACTGTAGTTTTAATTAGATTAGCCTCTGCTAAATGCTAAACAGATTTTGGGTTGCTCAGAGGTTTGTTGGAACAATCACTCAGTAAAGATTGTTCCCCTATTAGAAAAACGAATTCAACTTTAGCAGCGGCTCATTCCTTTTGCTAGTACACAGGTTTCTAGTGAGGCAGGGAGGAAAAGAGGAGCATGATAGTGTTTTTATTAACAAAGCTGGGGATTAATTTTCACTGGTGCAGTGGTTTACTTCTTTGATTTATAACCTAACTTTCCAGCTCCCAAATGGCACTCAGGATGTTAAAAGAATATTAATGAGTATGTGCAAAGGACTTCTGTCATACAGCTGAGCAAATGACTCCCCACTTCCTGGTTTTCCAGATGGATGGGCAGAGCCCACTTCCAAAAGTAATGAAACAGTAATTCACCAGAACTTGGTTCAGCAGTAGCAACAGTTTCTTTTCTCTTCAGAAAAGGGAAACAGAAAAACAGTCTGATAGCATTAAAAATATCAGTTGGGAATACTGTATAATATTTTGTGTGCTTAGGTGAGACTTTTATAACACCATCACCTTGCCTTATTCACAGAGTTTTACTGGGGAAACCAGACAGTGACATCTAATACCTTTATCCCTCCTGTGTTTCCCCATTGTTTCCTTCATTTGTTTTTCTTACAGCAGAAAATCTTTTAAGTAAAAAAAGTAGAGTTGCTTTACAATACCTTGTGATTGGTTAGCACCCAGGAGCCCTCCATCTAGAAGCATCCTTTGTGCCACTTTTATATTTTAGAGACCAATTCCATGCATATTTCTTCAGGAACAAGTCCTGCCATTCTGTCTGAATGTGCATAAAATTGTATCCTCCATCTATAGGCTCATACATAAGTTTTAGACAAACAGAAACATGAGGAGTTCAGAGCTGTAACTGGAGTTTTGAAATTTTAAATCCTGCTTGCATCTTCATACTTTATGAAAATTGGGATTCCCATCAGTGGCTCCTGGAAAAGCAACCAAGGAAACAAATCAAATTCTCTGTGGGAAGTGCCATGCTGCAGAGTGTTTCTTTGATTCAGCCTGAACAAAGACATACTGGCTACAGTGAACCCTACAAAAGGGTTTATCTCAGGTCTCTTTGTGCTAGATTAGCATGATATACAGATACTCCCTGTCATCTCTCTCCCTGTCATCTCTCTCTCTCTCTCTCTCTCTCTCTCTCTCTCTCTCTCTCTCTCTCTTTCTCAATCCATACACATTATCTAATATAAAGAAATGTGAAATCCCTGCTATATATACAAGGTGTGCCTTTGTCTGATAACTTATAAGAGCCAATACTGAGCTGGATAGACTACTAATTTAACACAATAAAGCATAGCTCTATACATCCAACAAAGCTGCCTTTAAATAAATTATTTGTGATTCAGGATTAGATCAACTGGAAAAATTTATTTTCAAGCAGCCTAACAACATTTGTATAGAATCAACTCTTTTCTCCTCCTAAATTTAACAGAAATACAGATGACAAAATATTAACTCATCTTGACTAGTTATTTAAAATGACTGTCTGATTTATAGGTCCTGAATAAGAGGAAGAAAGACAATTGTGCCTATATTTGGTCCGGAATAATTTGCACTGGAAATGAGAAGGTTTAAAGGCAAGAAACATGAAAGACAGTAGCTCATCCATCATTCATGTTGACGAATACATGAATAAGTATCACATTGAATAACTTCAGATAAGATCTCCACATTTAAATACTGTTTTAAGCACTAAGAAGTCACTAGACCTGGCCCTGTGTGTTATCTCTGAACCAAATTTGGCTAAAATGTTAAAAGGAAGTGGTAAACAATATCACTTGGAGGAAGCCAAGGCGCTGAAACA